GTGCAGCCATGTGCGACAGAGGAAATACAACTGAGCCGTTCTGCTCCCTCCTCCACTCATGCCTCAGCAGAGGAAGATGATTCTACGTCATGCCTTTAGTCATACTAATTATGAATACAAGTCATTAAAGAAAACAATGAGCTAAATTGGACATTTTGTTAACATTTACATCTCAAATAATGACACATCTGAGCATTCTCAGGATCACCTGCGAAACAAAATATATAAATATGTTATGTGTGACTGCATATTGTAACGTAACTAGTAAAAAGAAAGTCAAAAAATCTTAAAGCTATAGCTACTAGCCTGTAAAAATGAGTGATGCTATTGCCAGAACAATGGAGAATGACAACATTAGTTAGAATTATTTGGTTTCATTACACAGCATAAACCAACAACTCATTTTCAGGGTTTAGACTTGCTGCACATCCTTTCACAGACACAATGAAATGTGATAATGTATTTCCATTGTATACTGGTACAACACCCAACAATTTTTTCACACAGTGCATTTTTTTTGTTCGTACCATGCAGCCCTACTCAGCACCCTCACAATAAAAAGTTGTTTTGGCTAAATGTCCTCACAACACCAAAACATTTTTTGAGACTTCATAAGCCACATTTACACACACAGAACTGGACCTGGTCATAAAGAAGAAAAGAACACCATTCCATTTTTCTCTTCTCATGCAGGGTCATGTGCCACAGTGCCAGTCGATTTTTCCTTTGTGGAGAAAAGCAAACAGCGGCTGGCATTATGACCCTGCATGAAGACCCTACATTACCACTCAGGCCTCAAGGGAAAGCTGCCTCCACAAACCAATGGGTGTTCACTAGGGTTTTCGCTAGAAAAGTTAGGTGACATGGTGTCTGGGAATAAACCAGTTTGCCAGACAAATTGGTAAAATTTTTATTAATGATGCAAGAAAATAGTCACTTTATGTTCTAGAAGGAACATTTCACTGAACTGGTTGAAAGAGTTCAAAATCCCTTTCGGACTATTAACGGACTCAGAGTTCATCATCATTATTTAAATCATACAGTTAACTACAAAATAAATAAAAAAGATCTTTTACTGAAAAAAATAATATTTCACAAATTGAAATTTAGGATTTTTTAGGATTTAGGGTTTGTGACAGACACCTCCAAATAGAAATACCTTATAAATTATGATTTTGTATATATTCAGTTTATTACTCTCTCAATTAATACTTTCGGGTTTAAATAGATCATAACCTAAATTCTTGTAATTATCCACGGGCAGATAATTAATTTTTTTAAACTGTCCTTTTTGCTATGGGACCGCTTTTTGAAGTAATTAAATATTGTGATGTCAGCATATCATAAATCTTTAAAAATCATAAGAGAGTATGTGGGACAAACTCCAAAGTAATGTAATTATGTTGGGTAAAATGATGGTAAGTTTCAAAAGCTAACCCTAACCCTAACCTAAACTAAAACTAACTAACACTACAACAAATAACAGATCCTATTTATTAAAGTGATAAAGGACACAGTCAAATATCTAATAGTTATTTGCAGTAACAACCTGACACATGCAAAGAAACTCACACTAAATATTACTGCGATGTTACATGTTTAAATAAGAAAGTGCTTTGGAAATGCCTTTAAAGTACCGACTAAATAATATGGCATAAAATGACATTAAAAAATACAAATACCAAAATAACAATCCCAAAATAATGAGTCAGTATTCGGAATTTATACCTCACACTTACCTAGCTAATACTTAGAACTTGTTGTGCATTTCAGTGTAACATAGTTAGACTGTCATGGAACTTTGTATCACATTATCCGAAATAATTACCTAGCAGTTCAGACTCTGTACACACACTTACCTAGTTAACACCTACAAACTTGTTTCCAAAAAAACTTGGACGCTGTGCAAAATGTAAATAAAAACAAAATGCAATGATGTGCAAACCATTTGAACTTTATATTTGATTGAAAATAGTACAAAGACAACATATCAAATGTTGAAGCTGAGAAATTTGAGCAGGGGCAACAAAAGACTGGTAATGGTTGTAATAATGCTGATGGAAAATCTCACAAGTTATTAGGTTAATTAGCAACAGATCAATAACATGATTTGTTATAAAAAGAGCATCCCAGAGAGGCTGAGTCTTTCAGAAATAAAGATGGGGTTGGGTTCACCACTCTGTTAAAGACTGTGCGGGCAAATAGTGCAACAATACAAGAATAACGTTTCTTAATGTAAAACAGCAAAAGACTTGGGGAGCTCATCATCTACAGTACATAATATCATTAAAAGATTCAGAGAATCTAAAGATATTTCTGTAGGTACGGGACAAGGCCGAAAAACAGTATTGGCTGGCTGTGCTCTTCAGGTTCGCGTTCTTCTGTTTGACTTGCTTTTCATCTCAACGATTCAATTACGCTGAAATTTTGAGAAATTGATGGAAATTGAAGCAATACTTATAATATTATATATAATATTATATATTACAATAATATTATAAATACTTATAATATGTTTTCTAGACATTACGTCAAACAGAATTTGAAAGTGAAAATAAGTCTCTTTGCAGGAAACAAATATGGCTGCAGATTTAAGTTCACAAGTTTAACCTATTGGGAAAAAATGAAACATAAAATAGAAAATGTTCAATTTTTCCCCCAGTATGTTCAATTTAGCAAATAAATCAAAATTAACAGAAGTGTGTACTCTGTAGAGGATGTGTTAACTTATTTTCACTTCATCAACAAGACATAATCTGACCATGGTGTCCAAATTTTTGCGTACAACTGCACAAATTTATCTTTCAAATTTATGTCGCAAAACATGTCAAGTTCCCCCGATCTTTCTTTTCCTTTCTTTCTTGTATATTAACACACACACACACAAACGCTGGACTTCTATTGTACCTGCTATCAGCAGTTGGTCACATGGCAATCCAGAGGCTCTATATTTTATTCTGTGTGCTCTGGCTGACTCTGTTAGCTATGACAGCACTATTGTAGCACACCATGATGAACAGCTGCTTTCTCAAGTTCGGCTCAACTCATGTGCCATGCACTCCTGTAAGCTCTGGCTTGCATTAGGCTCTCGCTCTTAATTCCTTGCCGATTGCCCAGCACTTGTCTAGTGGCTTATGATTTAAATCCTTTTGATAGAAGCCAGGAGTCAACACATGGTCCCTCCAGCATAGACAGGAATGCAATCCGTTATTGCCAACACAGAGACTTTTCAGGAAAAGTAGTTCTGTTTATGCTCATCTGAGACCAGTTACTGGGTTTCTGGTATGGATAGGTGCCCACATCATCAAAAAATGGGCAACTTTGAAGAAGTTAAATGGTCTGAAGCATGGAGAAGAAAGACACAAAAGCAGCGTCGGTGATGACGTCATAATTTGATGAACAAATGAAATATGCATGTATACTCATACAGTACAATGCTAAAGTCAAAGACTACCCTTAATTTGTCATGTTGGGTCTAAACAGCCATGAGGTACAAGTTATTCATTTTTCAGGAAATACTTCTGAGGAGATTAGATATAAGATAATCCACTTGCACAATGAAGGGGAAGGTCAAGGGAAAGTGAAATATAGCAGGATTTTCCAAAATTATAGAGAAAATGGGACTCCTAACAGCTGTGCGAGACCTGGTACCTGGCAGATAAACAGTATTTAAAGCTTTGATCTTGAGAAGATCAAGCTTCACTCTTGCTTCAAATCTGAAAAAATCCCCAGGTGTTTCCATCCTTCCACTGTGAGAAGACAACTCCACACTATAGTCTGAAAAGGTGCATAGCTGTCAATAAGCTTTCCCAGAGAAAAACAAACAGACAAAAAAGAAAATTTGCACTAGAACTGGACAAAACAGAAGAAAATGTACAATTTAAACAAAGACGCTGATGGTGTTCTCAGAACAATGGACTGACCACACATCACAGAATGTGTTTGGGATTATTTAAATCCTAAGAAGCAGAAAATGCAACAAACTTCTAAGACTGAACTTTGGAGGTGTGGAAAATTTCCCTGCAGATTTCTTTGAAAAACAGAAAGCTAGTGTCCTGAAAAGAATGGAAGCTGTAATAAAGGCAAAGAGTAAACAATACCAAAAAAGTGGATATTATATTTAGTTTTTGAGGCTTCTGTGTAATTTTGTGTTTGATGCGTTTTTCCTGACACTGAAAATAAATAACTTAAACTGAAAAATAAATAATTATTGGACAGGTTATTCTCATGAACATGAGAAATACTGCAACTTTAAAAACATAAAATGAATATATAATGATTTCTGTTTTTGAATGAAAATAAACTTGAAGGATTCAATTTATTTTAAATAGATTCTTAGTAACATTTTCCAGTTTAAGTGACCAAATTCTGAAAACCGCAACACTGTGATTTGAAGACAAATATGTAAATAATGATTTTTTTTCTGCAACTCTTCTTTGACAATCTATATTCAGTATTTTAACATTAATTATTAATATAAACATGGAGGTAGGGAGAAACACATACGTGGATGCATTGTGCTAATGAGAAACTTTAAAATAAAAAAATTAACTCCTGAAACTTTTTGCTGTGCCATATATGTGCCACACACCTAAATGATAAGATTATTGTTTATCTGCATGATGCTTTTGACTCCATGAGAATGAGCTGGCTGTTTTAACTGGAAATCAAATTAATGAAGTGCGGTCTCTGACTTCTGCACGGTACATGCAAGTTTAAACACTCCCTGTCTGTCCTGCTTACCCCCTTACATAGTGCACAAGCAGGTAAAACCCATCCAGACACATTAATTCACATCATACAGAAGTGGTATGACCACAAACAAGCTCCAAGCATGCACACACTGACCACAAATAATACATGCTGTTTAAGTTACCTGTCAGTACAGTGACCGAAACTCAGCTCTGTCTTATGTGTAACACTGAAGTCAAAGTAAATTACTACACATGGCCTCTCTTATTCTTAAACGCAGCAGGCTGCAGGCACACACAGAGACTGACCTGTGATCCACGGGCACTTCTCTTGTGGTCCCATTCTTGCTGTGGGAGCATCTGAAGAGAGAGAGAGAGATAGAGAGAAAGAGAGAGAGGATGCAGACTGTCACAGGAAGCCAAAACACTCTATACAACTGAGCCTGTAACACAGTATCTAAAAATACAGCGAGAGAGAAAGAGTTCAAAAGAGAAAAACATGACATAGAGGCGAGAGAGAGAGAGAGAGAGAGAGAGGGAGAGAGGAGAAAGTGGCAGAATGAAAGAGAGAGAGAAAGAGAGACCTTCAACAGCAGCAGGACTCAAGGGATGGCTGTCCTACCACAACCCCCCACATACAGACGCACACTATGCTCGTACATTTTCCATTTTGTTCAGCGACGCATGCTCATAATTCAATTTCACAGTCAGGTTCGCATTTGTCTGTGCTCTTCAGCGCTTAAAGGGGAATCCCACCAAATTTTATACATTTCTACATGCAGGGTGTTGTGAGGCACAATAGCCCCCAAAGAAAACATATTTTTCTGGTTTTACCAGTATTTAACAATTATCCACATTAGATATAAAAACTCAAAAGACACCTGTAGGTTCAGTGTTGGTTTTGAATAGTAAAAAAATGGCAATAATTAAGTTAGAAGTTGTGATCCCTGGTTTCTATCACCACCACTGTAAAGAAATTTGAGTCAGTACGTTTCTTTACAATTACCTGCTTCAAATCAAAGTACTCTGAATGACTTTGTTTATATCAAAACGGTATGTTTTATTCAGAAAGTTTGAAAAAAGCTGATGAAATTCCCCTTTAATGGCTTCTCCAAGGCTGTAAACTTTATATACTCTAATTAGCAGTCAGTAGGAAGTTCCTGAACACTCTTACTGGCTCAGGACAAGAAAGAGGGGACATGGATAATAAAGAATTTGTCTACTGTAACTAAATGTCCTGCTTCTTCGCGCCTAAAATGTGTACAGGAAGGAGCATGAACTTTCTTAAAGAGTTCAGCATGGGACATCCTGCTGCAGTTCTGAAATAATGTCACGTCAAGTTCCACAGTGTTCAGCGCCAGGAAAGTGGACGTTTATAAATACCGTGGGAGCTCAGCCTAAGAATATATTCCTTCAGAGTGAAAGGAGAGGGAGTAAGCCAAACAAACAGCATTCTGGATGTAGTTTATTATATGCAGCAAGATAGGCCGTTAATCAATAATATTGGTGTCCATGCCGCCCACTCTCAGCCCTGTCACTTGCCTGGGACACTATGTGACCTGGCACCATTAGCCGACATTGCGTCTACACAGCTGGTTTTACGAAAGCACTGTACCAAGCGACCTGTTCATAGCCAGCACACTGCACATTACACACAGGATAATAAAGGGCATTGTCTAAAAACATGAACAAAACATAAATAAACATACTTTACTGGACTCTATACGGATCAAAGCCGAAAACACATTTTGGACTTTTAGCTGACTTGGACTTGTGACCCTACACCTTAATAATGTTTATTTTATTGAAATAAATGACTGAACATAACACCACTGTTTCAGTAGTGACAATTGTAGCTCATTTTCAGCATAACTCATAAACACTAGCCAGTACATGACCAGCAAACACAGCTTTGAAAGGTTGTACACACATCAAATTACATTTGTCTTCATTAAAACACAAAAAAAGTTTACTTAGTTGCAGAAAATTTGTTTCAGTAGTGACCATTCTTAATGTTACAGTCTCTCTTCCTGCTCTAAAATGCAAGGGTGTGTCTAAAATAAGGCTCTGTCTATGGACTAATACTCTTTGTTTTTCAGTATTGACATGAACATGTGGGACAGCATTTTTTAAATAAAGTTGTTTTGATTTAAATGTAATTTAATTTAATGTAAATGTAATAAGTCATGATAAATGTAGTCTTTCAATTTCAGTCTAAAATAAAGTTCAAAAATCTAAAAAAGAAAATTGGAATATTTGTATATATTTAGCTTACTACTATCTCACTTAAGGTCTTGATTGAGTTGAAATTTAGAAATGAGAAGTAGAAAAATGTCTCTGTAATCCTGTTGCTTGTGCTTGGTGTATGGATGTGATATAATTTTGACATCTTTTGTTTGAAGGATACAGCTGTTGTGTGTTGGTTTTAAGGAGCATTTAGCTGTTAAGCTGCATACAACTGAAACCAAATGCCAGAAGGTTTTAGGTGTGCCCCAGCTGTAGTGATTTTTAAATCCAGGTCAAAAAACATTTTTCTTTTCATGTGCCTATAATTCTCCTATAAGATTTGCACTTTATTCTTACTGCACTTTATTTTTAGCAACTTTAATGAGCTCAATTTGATCTTTGATTTCTTTTTGAGTTTCTGTTTAGCCCTTTATTACTTTACTTTTCTTTTACTCTACATCTGATTTCACACTTTTCAAGTTAAGCCAACAATCTAAATAACGTTAAGCAAAATGTTTATTTTAAGTTTAATCAACTCTCTTGGAGGCTAAAAGCTATCACTTCTACCCCACTGATTGATTAAAATCTTAGAGGTCTTATTGTACTTTGAATAATTGAAGAACTTGATCATCTTCCTTACTAAGCATGCTGGAAAAGGCTTAGCTATAAGATACCTGTGCATTTGTTATCCTAGGTTTAATCGACTCTCTTGGAGGTTAAATGCTAACATCCCAAAGATTGACTAACATCTTAGAAGTTTTGTGAATTACTTCAAATTATAATGCTGCTGTTCATACAGTGAAAAGTGGTAACTTTGATTTTCCTCACTCAGGGTGCTGTAAAAGACTTGAGTAGAATTGTTATGCTAAATCTCCTGGAGATTAAATGCTACCACTGTTATCCCATGGGTTAACTGATACATTACAGGTGGTGATCTTCCTCACTTAAGGTGCTAGACAAGACTTGAGTAATGCTGCCTAATTTACTTTTTATTTTTATTGTTTTTCACTGTTTGCACTTTGTCTTACTTCTTTATCTGTTTTTGCTTTTATTTATGGAAAGCACACTGAATTTCATTTGCGTTCAAAATGTGCTATATAAAAAAAATTGACATGCCTTGCCTTTAAGATTGGAAGCATAGAAAAGATAAAATGGCAGTAGGTTCACAAAAGTAAAGAGTGGACAGTACTGATAGATATGATATTGTACTTAGTGTATAACACTGAAAACGTGTACTTAAAGACAGTTTTGACTGGCAATTGAATCTAACTTTTGCACAGTACTTTGCTTCCTATTGTTGTATGGATATGATTTATTTTTATTACATGATAAGTCAAATTTGTACTGTAATATCAAATAAATTTCTATAGTTTGCTTTTCTTACTTGTATATACTGGAAAACCCTTGACTGGACTGAAAATGGCCATTTCTGCAAAAAAATTGAGGTCATTGTCCTCAATAGTTTACTCCCACACACACACCATGAAAAGATTAGTTCTCTCTCTCTCTGTCCTCTCCCTGTTTCTTCTCTGTGTCAAACATCGGCATCAAAGACGAGGTCCCTATCTTTGACTGCGCATCGGCGGGGCCACAGTAGATTATGTAACGTTATGTAATGCTCCTCATCCTCTGGCTTGGTCCTGCCTGTTCCAGCACCGGAGCTTCAGGAAACCACAGCCATTCCCAAGCCAAAATCATTAACTACTTCTGCATTGTGCTGTTCTTTACTGTCAGGCAGATGCAGCACAGATCTCTCCAACAACCAAAAATGAAATGTATCTGAAAACATACTGCAGTATATAAGCAGAGTGAAAATATATAAGAGTCCATTACATTTAAACTTGGTAGCCATTGTCCACACTGTTGGTATTTTATTAAAGCAAATAATAATGAACAAGTCTCTCAGTGAACAAGTGCTTTTGCTAAATGAATTTGAGTGAGGGTCAGAGACATGTACTAAGATAAACAGCAAAGATAAATTGGCTCAAACTATAAAAAAAACTTTTCTATAACAAAGATTTTTAATGGATGGCTTCCAGGCCGTCCAAAGAACTTTCAGACCATACCGTATTTTTTTTTCCCCAGAAAAGGCAGCAGGCCCAAGGTATGAAACACAGGGGTTCCTGGAGGGTCTGGGACCCCCTCTTGGACTGCTAAAAATCGAAATTCTAGGAAAACCCTGAAAATGAATTAATTATGACATTATGCTGTCCGTTAGGCAAATAGACACTGAAATACAAATCCAGGGAAATGGTCATTGTTTAGCAGCTTCACCCACATTTGGCGAGCTTCTGTCTTTGGTGTTCTTGGCTAACTAGAGTTGCAGCCCTGGTCTGCCTCTGGGTGGTGCTGTAGCAAACTGGTTCACTCAACTGGTCCTTTGTTGGCTAGCAACTGTAACTACGCCCAGGACACCTCTAAAAAACTTTAGAATGTGCCACAGCATAATTGTAACTAAAAAAATTGCCCAACTTCCCAAGAGATTGGTGGAAAGAGTAAATTGTTATTCATTTTTCAAATTGAAGACAAAAAAGAAGACGTGTAAGATCTCAATAAATGTGTGGAAGAGCACATCAACAAACAAGAAATTAGCATTTCCAATAGAAGAATAGTTAAACCAAACATTTTGTTGTATTTGAAGCTAGCATCAGTGCCTCTACGGCAAGTGAGTTAGCAGTCAGTCAACAGTGAAGTAGCCAGCCAACATGGGACCCCCGAATATAAAGAGGTATTCCACACACTGAGGTCTATACCTTCAAGCAGTATGCAGAATGCAGTTTCTTTTTCTTGTGTCACTGTAAAAAATCTAAAATCTCTATTCACACAAAAACTGGAAAGAAACAGGAGCAGCAGAGGCTTTCCAGCGTGCTTAAAAGCTTTCTCTCTCCCAAATTTCAGCTAAGAAAGCACAATATTTGGTGAGGAACACATGATTAAAAAAAATTTTTGGTGGCCACTTTAGTACACCCTGATAAGCATGGCTCCATGTCTTGTGAACGAAAGCAGAAAGGATGAATGAAGGTGAAAAGGTAGTGGCAGGGCCGACAGGCGTTCTCCTACTGACTTCGGCTCGCTAAGTGACAGACGATGTAATCTTCATAATAAGTCAGATGATGCACTGCTGCCTTAATTTAGCATGAAAGAGATGCTGCCTGCTTCTAGCATAGCCTCCCTCCCTCTCTCAGCACCGTCAGTTGAGAGAGCCAGGCGGTGGTGTTCAGCTGCAGCAGTAGCAGGTGAAGGAGGGGCTGGAAACAGACCCCGAACCCTACTGCACGCCCATTACGCCTCTAACGCCTTTTTAATAATGCAAAGACTACAGAAGGGCGAGAGCTGGAAATCTCACGCATACTCAGCAAAGAGGCCACCACTACATTAGCGCTCACTTCAAAATGATTCATTCATAACTCGCACCACTAACCTGCACAGATCGCCCCCACACCCCAACGCTCTATTGCTTTACTTAATTATTGGGAATGGGCTGTTTTTAATGGCGGCTTTAAAAGTGGGAATGCACACTCAAATAATAATGGATCAAATCAACAGTAGGTACAAAGTTTACTTGTCCCCATTTATTTATCGACTCAGCATGTGTATACACATCGCAGCGTGAGAAATGCTCTTTTGGTTGAAATAATGGAATCGAGCCTGCTCTTCAATTACATCAATTACACTTACGGCATCAGGCAGACCCACTTATCCGCATCAACTTACAAAAGTGCTTTGTCGTCTATTCAGAAAGTGTATCCTAGCTGGTACAAATAGGTTCCAAAGAACCTTTGCGCTAAGCCCCTGCCTGAAACAAAAGCCAGAGCTGATACCTAGAAAAAAGATACAAAATATAGAATTAAGACAGCATTAAGTGCAACACAATACATTTCAACAAGAGCTAGATTAGTGTTTATTTAAGTGCTTCACAAAAAGATGGATCTCCAGGCGACATCTGAAGACAACGAGGGACTCCCGTGGAAGTTCATTCTACCATCTAAGTGCTAGGATAGACAAGAGTCTTACAAACAGACAAAGATATATAAGTGCACAGTTCAAGGTGGAGACCAGGACAAAAGATTCACCATTTTTATATAAAAATCACAATTTAAAAGAGATCTTAAAATCAGTCATTCAAAACTGTCATTTTTATTGTTGCCTCACCATCAATGATGTCTTAACAAGCCGTCGATGTCTATATAAAAAAGTGTGTGTGTGTGTGTTTGTATATATATATATATATATATATATATATATATTTTGCCCAAATTTTTTAGCCCCATGCGGTCATACACAATCTCACTGAATTCAGAAGATATCACTCCTGCTTTTTCTCATTTTTACACGTTAGCTGCACTGCCTCATCCAACCTGGAGGAGGTGCTGTTCCCATGATAAACACATACTGAATGGAAGGTCACAATGCCCTAACACCAAGCGCTGGCTGGAGTGGTTATAAAAAGCTCTCGAGCATTGGCCTATAGAGCAATGAAACTGCGTGCTCTGGAGTGATGGAGTGCCATCCAATACCTTTGCGATAAGTTGCATTTGTAACCTGGAACAAATCCAATATTCAGCTCTTGTGGCTGAACTCAATCAATCCTCACAGCAATGTTCCAACATCTAGTGTAAAGCCTTCCTAGAAAAGCAGACGCTCCCTTTTAATTCCCTGTTAATACCCTTGATTTCAGAAGAAATGATGAATGAGCAGGTGTCTACAGACATTTGGATATTATGGGTCAGCTTCCTGGACAGGAACTGAGCCAATGCTTAATCTCGGTCAGGGATATCGACCCAAAGTATATATAACAGATTTGACTGACAGAGTATGTTCCTATCTTCCTATGATAGATAGACTATTTTGACACCGCACACAGGAACACAAGAGCTGACAGATACCCAGTCCATATTCCAGTAACAAAAACAATAGTGCTCAGTAGACCAGTGTGAGGGCCAGAAATGGAGGTTTGAAATTTTAAGAAAGACAGAGTGTGGACGCTTAATAGGCCTAGCTTCACAGTACCACTTTATCTGGGACTAAGATTACATTCAAGCCAGAAAAGTGTTGTTCATGTGAAGCTCTTTGAGATGGCTGTTTCAGGTAAATGCAGGGAGCCTGCTCACATTGAAAAGCCAATATTTTTTAATAAATGTATTTATTTTTAAATCAAGACAAAACAAATGGGTAGATCTTATGATGATGTAGCTAAAAATCCAAGGACCCCTTTCTTGGGTCTTAAAACGCCCCTGCATTATCCTCAGCTCCTGCTGCTTGTCAGGTTAGCTTGTCTTCGGTTTTGTTCTTGGGGGTTTTCAACTGATTCTTAGCCATGTTTCCACGTGTCCCTAATATTCCTGATGTTTTACATCCATCTACCTTTATTTGTTGATGACTGGTTGATGGATTTGTCTGCTCGTCTGAGGCTGATCTCTGCCTCTCAAAACTCATCCAATCAAACTACTTATCTGACTCATTTGATTTTTTTTCTACATAGCATGGACCAATTTTAGTTAAGTAGTTACTTAGAAGATAGACTAAGGTTTTATTGATAATTAAATTATACATAATAACTTAATAGCTTATTTTGTGAACAAAGAAACTGTCAATGCTAGTCAAAGAGTCTCTAACTGGACAGGCGATAGATCCAGAATGCCCATCACTAGTTCAAGTTGTAGGACAACATCTGAGGATGACTTCTCTGCTTGCCGTATTGTATCTTTCTGCTACCTTGACATTTTTCAAGAAAGGCTGCATTCTTGCCTGCTGTTTGAATTATCATTTTATGATTTGAATTTGATGAAAAGTAATGTGTTCAGTCTTGTTTGGCAAAGAAAGTCAACTTTTAAATTTTGCCATGTTTTTGTCATTTCTTGACATCAATATAATTTGAAAAAAGTCAAAAGGGCAGACTCAAACCTGTCGATACAGAACGTAATTCATTATGTAGTATGTAATTAATTATGCAATTACATAACTACATTGGAAAAAGGTTGAAATACATAAACATATCAGTTTACACTACTTTGTAAATTTTCTGTTACGCAATTTTAGTACTGTTCTGTCACAATATGCTTTTCTGGACATTGTCAGTACTTAAAGAACACTGATCAACACTGCTTTATTGAAAACAGAGCATAACTAGTCCTAAGTGAATTTCGTGCAGTTTGGTATGAAAAACATAAAAAGGAATAAAAATGTTACTAAAAAATGTTTTGGGGACAGATCTGCTAAGAAATATTTCACAGATATCTGTACCACTTGACCCCTTAGTACTACTTCTAGGAGCGTCATGTACTCTCTGCTGATCAAGATTTACTGATAAGGGGCCTCCTCACTGTTGCAAGAAAATGCATCTTGGTCAAGTGGATTTCTACATCTACACAATCTAGCATAACTGTGGTATAGAACAATATATAATATCCTCCCCATCGAATAATAATCTTATTTATATAAATAAAGATTAAGAAGTTTTATCAAGTCTGGGGCGAGTTCTTGGGCTACACCAAAGTCGCTACTAGGGCATGTGCTACAATGTTGAAATGGAATGTGTAATGGTGAATGGGACTGTCTTATTGTACCTGTGTGTTACCTTTGGTATTAATGTTGATAATTATTGATTGCAGCCATTATTACTGATGTCTCTTACTTAAACTGTTGGTTTTTTATTTTTAATATATAGCAACTCTCATTGTACTGCATTGTACATTATATTATCATATTCTGTATTTTTTATTGCTATAATAAGCAAGATTGGAGGGAAAACAAAACATAAAAACTGTATATCATAATTGGGATTAAATCCTTAATTGTTAATAGCTAGGCAGTTAATCTGGCCACTAGTTGGGTACATTGACTGATTAGCTATCTTGCTTCCTAGTTATGTTTACTTAGTTGCTAATTCTGGTTGTACTGTGGAAATAATACACTACACTGTTGAGTACAGCACACACACTCAAAATGTCTACAGTTACACAGAATCATGTGTAGAGTCAAGCAAATTGCTTTTCATGAGAGTGAAAAATAAGCAAAAAACCTCTCATTCTGCTAGCATACATGCTAACAACATTAGAACTTGCTACTCGCCCTTCCCTCTAAACAACGTTTACTGTTTTCTTTTATTTACATTTATTTGCCTTAACCTAATGCACTTAATTCACATTCTCCTTGTTGTAAATATAATGACTGTGGAAAATTATGGTTGTTAAATAACTGTGATCATCTCAAGCGCGATTAGGCAATTATGTAATAATTTGACAGGCCTAATTTTCAAATGCCATATTGGTTCTTTTTTTGGCTGTTTCAACTTATCAAATCTTAGAAAACCTAAATACCATGACATGTTGTGGATCAGGAAAATGTCTTCAAGTATCGTGAAAAAAAAGAGGACAACTTATTGCGCCTGCAGACAGAAAAACTCCGAAATCACGAAGGAAGAAAGCATAACAAGTAAAAATATGATGATGGGGCAATCAACATAGTAGACAAAAACACCTAAAGAAAAAATGAGGCAGAAGACTTTCGGTAAATCTGTCTGAAGGAGCCACACATTCAGGAGAGCAACAGAATACCCATATTTAAAGCAAATCACCAAAACTTTCCCTATTTAGGAAATCCGTCTGCTGATGTAACTTCCCACATCATATAGTGTTGGGCTGCACAATTAATAGTTTTCATAACTAAATTGCAATTTGAAAGAGTGCAATTTTTTAATCGCAAGAGCTGCATTTTTAATTATCCCTTACATTATTAAACAGTGTCTTAACAAGTTGTTCGTAAGGAAATTCAACCTCAAAAAATTTAAGCTGGTAGTCTGGTGCACTACATTCAGTGTAAAAAAAAAAAAAGGGATGTGTTGGTCTCCCTGCCAAAACAGCCCTGGAGCTTAAGTTAAAGAAAATAATCTCATTAAAATAGCAATTGCAATATTGGCCAAAAAATTTGATATCTATCACTTAGTAGAGTATGAGTTACTCTACCAGTCCGAGGTCAGAGGTAGTGCGCCTGTAACTACTCTAGCTAGCGTTAACCAGAGCCAAAACAATGAAAAGATATTCCTCTGTCCGCAATGTTACCTTGACAAACTAACATGTTGGCCCATCATCAACAGAAAAATAAAAACTTTGTGAAGACAGCAAGTCATTACATACCATTGCACTGGTTAGCTCTTGTTTTAATGTTAGCTCATTAGCACGTTCGAGGCAGCCTCCATTATTCAAGAGCAGTGACCAAAACATTTGCATTAGCCAGTCGTATTGGTTTCATTTCCACTTAGAGAGGCCCCATACCTCTGCTCATATTTTTGAAAGGAAAATCAACCAGACATTTTAACGTCTAGTTGGCAGTACCAACCTGGGGAGAGCTACGGCCTGCCGCGGATAAAACACTAGCAGCATCTTACTTTATCACAGGTAGTCTGCTTAGCTTACCTCACCTTTAAGGATCCTTGAAAGTCTTCAACATTAGAAAAATGGAGCTGTCTCAGTTTGCTACAGTAAAGGAAAAGATGCCGACTGTACACGGATTGCATTTCCCATGAGTCTTCGCGCAGGAACATAAAGACGTGATGGAAAATGTGGACTTATGCTGTATACGGATTTATGCTGTGCTCGACTGAAGTAAATTTCCCATCTCCAACAAGGGAAAAAGGAAAAAAAAATGCCCCCTCAACTGGGAATTCCTACTCAGAAAGTGGTGATGGTGTTCTCAATTCTGACGGCAAATCAGCACGGCTGCCTGCACAGTCAACAGTAATAA